GGATTATTTTGTTCTACCTTTAGTTTTGGGTGATCCTGCAAAGTCCTTGGATGAAGATGCAACCCAGAGCTTCTGAGAATGGAAGGATGCAGAGAAATGAACTTAACTTTGAGTAAAGTGTTAATGTCAGTCCCAGGCCAGAAGTGTTAGTGATAAAACCCTGAAGAGATTACTCAAAGCTGAGAATGTTTAAGCATAGTCATCTAATAGCTTCACGAAGAATTGATTTTCAGGTCCACTCTGTAAGTTAAAATCAAAAGGTGTTAGAAACTCTAGTATGAGTACTGTATGAGTAGTATTGACAGGTACAATGCAAAGTCTGCTTTGGGTACAGTATAAAAGCTGTTGTTGTTCTTTTCGATTTAAAAAGGAGCATATGTGATAATGGGAGTATACTTTTACTGTGTAGTTAAAATTCCTTGAAGTACTACTTTAAGTCGATATTTGGTTAATTTTCATTTATCAACATTTGTTTTGTTAATAAGCTTCTACTGTATTGTTAAAACAAAATTTGCAGCATTATGTGCTCATATTTCAGCGAAAGATCAGTTGGTTTTAAAAAAACAAAGTGAAACATGATCCGTCAAACCAGGTTTCAATCCAGGATCTACCTTGTCCAACTTGACTTCAGGAAGCAGCGTGGAGGGCATGCCCCTATCTACATCAATGGAGCTGAGGTGCAAATGGTCGAGAGCATCAAGTTCCTGGGAGTGATGATCACCAACAATCTTCCTGGTCCACAAATGTTGATGCGACAATCAAGAAAGCACAACAATGTCTCTACTTCCTCAGGAGGCTAAGGAAATTTGGCATGTCCATAAAGACACTTATCCAATTTAATAGATGGACCATAGAAAGAATTCTACCCAGATGCATCTTGGCTTGGTACGGCAACTATTTTGCCCAGGACTGTAAGAAACTACAGAGTTGTGAACACAGCCTAGTCCATCTCACAAGCCAAACTTCCACCTGTTAACTCCATCTACACTTCTTGCTGCGTCAGGAAGACAGCGAACATCAAAGACCCCTTCCACCCCGGTTATAATCTCTTCCAACCTCTTCTGTCAGACAGAACATGCAAAAGCTTAAACACACGTACCCACAGATTCAAGAACAGCTTCTTCCCTGTACCAACAGATTCAGGTAGAGCTTCTTCCCTACTCTTATTAGACTTCTGAACATACATCTCAAGTTTTAAATTTAATGTTGATCTTGCTCTTTGTGCACCTTCTCTGCAGTTGTAACATTGCATTCCTCACTTTGTTCTATCACCTTAACGTACATGATATAGTATGATCTGCCTGTACCACACACAAAACAGAGCTTTTCACGGTACCTAGGTACAGGTGACAATTATAAATCAAATCAGATTAAATCAATAATAATGTTAGCTGGGACCATAACACTTTGCAAAGTACTCCAGATGCGCTCTCATCAATTCCCCACATAACTGAAGAATAATCTACTCTTGAATTCAATTTCCCATACGATAAATTATAACATTCTATTTATTATTTTTACTGTATCAATTGCTGAGGATTTGTATCTGTTGGATTTGTGGAAATCCATTTTTCAAATGTTCTGTTATAGTAAAAGTTTGTGCTTTCAATTGGTAGCTCAGATGTGCCATACTCTCACATTTTGCCTTCAATTAAGGCACTGCCTTCTGGTGGGATATGGGCTCTGGGAGCATCTAAAACAAAAGCGAAGGATATGGAGATCTGAAATACAAACAGAAGGTGCTGGAGAAACTCAACAGGTTTGGCTGCACATGTGGAGAAGAGAAACAGAACTAATGTTTCAGATCTAACTTGACTCTTCTGCAGAACTGTTGTTGCCAGGTCTCCTGAGTTTCTCCAGCATTTTCTGCTTTGGTGTTTGGGAGATTTATAGAGTCACAGACGCACAGAGTCATACAGCACGGAAACAGATTCTTCAGTCCAACCAGTTCATGCCAACAATAATCCTAAACTAAATAAGTCCCACCTGCCTGCACTTGGCCCACATCCCTCCAAACATTTCCTATACATGAACTTATCCAAATGTCTTTTAAACATTGTAAATGTACCCACAGCCACCACTTCCTCTGGAAGTTCATTCCACACATGAACCACTCTGTGTAAAAAAAAAAAAAAAAATTGCCCTCTCGTCTTGTTTAAATCTTTCTCCTCTCACCTTGATTTGAAGACCCTAGTCTTGAAATCTCCCATCCTTCGGAAAAGACCCTTGTCATTCACCTCATCTATGCCCCTCATGATTTTATAAACCTCTATAAGGTCACCTCTCAACCTCCTAAGCTCCAGAGAAAAAAGTCCGAGCCTATCCAGCCTCTCCCCATAACTCAAACTCTCCATTCCTGGCAACATCCTGGTAAATCTCTTCTCAACACTTTCCAGCTTAATAATATCCTTCCTTTCTGTATTTCTGTACTTGAGTACATGTGACAATAAAATCTAATTCTAATTCATTTATAGCACGGTGTTATATTCTGCTGCAAAAATTGAGCAATGTTTAAGAGGCCTGTGTCTTTAAAGTCCTGGTGTATAAGTGATGTGAATAAACTGAGGATGATCAGAGTTCAATTATGTATGGAAAAGGGAAAGTGTAGATTGGTGAGTGGGTGCTTGTAAATTTTCAGTGTTAAGTGCTACGAAGGGGTTGGTTAAATGAAAGAAACTTCCTGATACTAACTTTATAAGCAACAAGTAACAATTTATTTATCTAACTCTAACGGTGAACAAATTAGTAGAACTACTAACAAACTGAACAATTCCCCCCTAACTACTAACTATTCCTGAATAAAACAAAATTCTAATGGTATGTTGTTCCAATAAATACGAGTCTCACTTACATAAACCAAAGTAATAAGAAAAAAAAATTAAAACTTTGTCTCTCAAAATCACAGCCAGGACAAGTCTTCCAGAATGTTCTTTGTCCTCTTCACTGTCTTCCATTCGACTACAGCTTTCTCCGTCAAATTCTTGTGTCGGGATAATTAGTTAAGAGTACCCTAATATCTTTATTTAGATGGTACTTATTCTGAGAGCTTAGAGATTTCTGTGAGAGCCAGTGAGTTTCTCTTCAGATGTTAGTTCACTCTCACCCCGATTTTCAAATGGCCTCTTCTTTTATACCCTTGATGACCTATCAATTTCTTACATTGGATTTGTTCTAGGTTGTCAGAACCATCAGATTTAAATTACATTGGGGTTTGGTACCTCGGGCCTGATTTAAATTAATTGGCTAAATTGAAAACCCGTTGTCTTGGTAAAAATGCTGTTTTGCCTGTTAACAGTATAGCTTTTTGATAAAAAATTTCAATTTCAAGAACCCTCTGTGTTTCTGCTGCTGCCTGCAAACATTTTTCTTGATCTCCAAGTCTGAAAAAAGTAATCTTTTAAAGGACCACACACTCTTTTCCCCCCCCCAACCTCATCATTTTACAAACAAATTCTAACGTCCTGCCTTCCAATCCACAAATACTATACCCAACTTTGCAATGTAAGTCAGGGAGGATTAATAAAATGGCACAAAATGAACCACCTTTTCTGAATGACAGTTTCACACACTACATTGAACCCTCTCAAATGTTCCACATAAATAGGTCGAAAGAAACATTTTTTCTGAAGAAGGGTCTAGGCCCGAAATGTAAGCTTTCCTGCTCCTCTGATGCTGCTTGGCCTGCTGTGTTCATCCAGCTCCACACCTTGTTATCTCAGATTCTTCAGCATCTGCAGTTCCTACTATCTCTGAAAGAAACCACGCTTTGGTTTTCTCTTAAAGTACCTAAACTCTGTTACAACAGCCAGAGCTTGACCTCGATGAGACTGTGAGCGAAGTTACAGTCCTCCTATAGGCACCCATAACGTACCTCGTGTCAGCACACATCAAACTGGCAGTGGTCCTGGTACTGCCGGATCTTGGAGTACTTCACCGTTGTGCCGCACAGCATGTGGACCAAGCACCTATTATCTTCAAACTTCTGTACTTTTTCTTAAGAGTGCGTGATGGGTAATGCAAGTGTAAGGCAACCAGTGTTGGCATCTAATTTGACTGAAGGTAGTATCATAACCGATGCCTGGCCATGCCCCCAACTAAAATTGTTTAGTCACCACATTACCCTGAATGCTTTTTCACAGATGACTGTTGAGGCTCAGGCGATGACTATATTCAAGGCTGAGATATACAGATTTTGAATCAGTAAGGGAATCAAAGGTTATGGAGAAATTGAGGCAAGAAAGTGGAGTTGAGGATTATCAGTTCAGTCTTGATGGGCAGAATGGCCTCATTTTGCTCCTACAGTCCCTCGATAATAACTAAGACGTGGGAACCTCTGGTTGCTTATTTTCTGAGGGTCAGTTGCCTGCACTCCCTGAGGGCAATCAAATTCCCTCTGATTGAGGGTCAAGACTCCATGGTAAAAGTCCTGAAGTAAACAGTGAAAGCCCCAGCAGGGTGGGCTTAAAGTGAGGAGAAGGAGGTTCACGGTTACTATTCTGGATGCAGACTTTTTTTCTGTTAATGCTCATCCATCACTTATGTATCTTCAGGGAGATAATTGAGAGTGCATTGGAACAAGGTGTTGGAAGTCAGGACTCATCCTCCCTGCACCCCCTCCATCCTGCCGACAGGCGGCGCTTCGAACACTCTTTAAGCGACGGGGGGCGGTCAAATGTACAAACGCTGGGCTATCATTGGATGATTATAACAGCCCCCTCGCAAACAAACTGTCCAGTGTCTGTCTTTTATTGGTCTACGCAGCTGTCAATTTACAGGGATCTTTCTATGATTGAGTAATATTAGTGCCGGTTAAATGCAATCTACCCGGCTATTGGGCATTCACGTCGTTTATTGGATAATTCTAACGTCATTCACAGTGGCCTGGACAGTGATTGGATCGTCGCCGCCACAGGTGGTGACTCCGTCATGACGGCCGCCGATTGGCCGGCATTGCTGTCAACCATCCGGTAGGGGAGCGAACGTCCGGTGTCATGTTTCCGGTCTGAGGAGGAGACGGCGGCAGCGGCCGGTGAGCGGGCGCTGGTGGGGGAGATGGAGGCAGGCGGCGGCGGTGGCGGGACCGCAACCGGGGAGGGGGACGGAGGAACCGGGAGGGCGTAGGGAAGGGAAACGAAATGAAACAAGTCAGCGGGGTTTCAGGCCTGGAGGTGGGCGTGGGTCGGTGCCGCTGCAGCCGGACGGGTGGGGGAGGGGTGGCTGCAGGAGGGGGGGGAGGGTCAAGGTGGAAGGGGGTTGGGGGGGGGGGGGGTGTGTGTGGCAGGGAGGGAGTGGGGCTCAAGTTTGAGGAGGAAGGTGAGTGTGGGGTTGAGAGTCAACGTGGAGAGTAGGAGAGATTAGTCTTGAGTGTCAAGGAGGACGGGGGAAGATGCAAGAGAAAGGCGGTGAGAACAAGTTGAGGGTGTGGCATGAAGGGGAGAGGAGAAGGGTGGCTGACGAGGAGCAGATGTGGGTGAAGGAGAGGTGGGAGAGCTTTGAAGAGATGTTGAGGATGACGGGGAGGCCAGTGGAGCAAAGTTAAGGAGACAGGGAGGAACAATTTGTGGGGGTGGGGATGAGGAGAAGTGGAGGTGATGATGGAGAGTAGAGGGGGTAGGGGAGGTAAGAGTGAAGGATAAGAGAAAGGTCTGAGGTGGCGAGAAGTGGGGGAGGAAGGTGAGGAAAAGGGGAAGAGGAGGGTGCGGGAGTGAAATGGGGAGCTGTATCTCGTGTCCCTTGCAAACCTGTTGGTACCTGCCCCAATATTTGGTTAATGTCCCCAGGCATTATGCCCAAGTAATTAATTCGTGTATGTGCACATCACGTTTGAGGTTGTGGGAGGTGTTACAGGAAAGCCTGATCTGACTTCAAAACAAACAGTTTCAGTGTTTATTTTTCATGGGACAGGGTTTACATTCAGAAGGCCAGCACCAGTATATGTTGCCCATGTCTATTTGCTCTTGAGCTGAGCAGCTTGTTAGGTCATTTCAGAGGGCACTTAAGGGTTATCTGCATTGTTGTGGGTCTGGAGTCACTTGTAGGCCAGAACAGGTAAGGGTGGCATGTTTTCTTTGTTGGAGAACTTAATGAGCCAGAAATGTTTTTACAGCAATCGATAGTTTCCTTTGCTATTGTGAGACTGGATTTGAACATCAGGATTTTTAAGCACTTAGCAACAGGGACTGTAAAGTTGAACATAATTTCTTTATTTTTCTGCCTTCGACTTCTGTGTTTTGGTTTTTTTTTGCGTTTGAAGATGGCATTAGCGAGTGGTGACACTGTACAGCACTTTTCACTGTATTTTGTAGCAAAATACACGGGACAATAAAATAATGGAATTTAAATTCCAGCAGCTGTTTTGGTGGGTTTGAACCCATGTCCCTAAAGCATTGGCCTGCATCTCTGGATTGCTAGTCCAGTGCCTGTATCTACACTATCTTCCACAAATGTCAGTGAAACCTGTAGAAATATTATAAAATACTTGTGTTTTGAAAATCGTTTCGTGCTGATGAGATAAATATTGCTCTATAGAGTAGGAAACACGAGTGGCCTGTGTATTTCCTGATGACTCAATTCTGTGGGTACAAATGAATGAATCTGAATGTTACATAGATGTGCAGAATATACCTGGAACCTTGAGCTTAGAAACAGGCTATTCAGTCAGGCTGGTCTCTGCTATCAGTTTTTGTTTGTAGTTTATGCTTGGACATTAGTGTAATTTAGCAGATAAATTTCCTGCCTGGATGTTAGACAGCTATGAGATGAATGCTGCTTCTATGCTCCAGTTATCTCCGTTAGAATGGAGATAGCAAGAACTGCAGATGCCGGAGTCAGAGTCAATACAGTGTGGAGCTGGAGGAACGCAGCAGGTCAGGCACCATCAGAGGTCTAGCTATCTCCGAGCGACTGAAAACCTTGGTGCGAAACCTCTTCCAAGGATGCCCACCTTGAAGAAGTTGTCCTCCTCCCTCTGAAAAGACCTCAGTTGATCTCTCTGTCTCACTGCAACCCCCTGGAGATCTCCTCCGTCCTGAAGCTCTTCAACCTTGTAGTGAAACAAGCCCGTTAACGCAGCCACATCTCCCGCAGCCGGCTCATACCCCATGGACTCCAAGCAACGTTCAGACCAAATTTGGACCAAACCGCGACAACTGTTATGTACAGTACATCCAGGGCCACCAGAAACAATTTTTTCTGTGGATCCTCAGCTCCATACTCGCAGCCATGTGCCAGCATCTTCTCTCACTAGAGTCAGCCCTACCCCAGCTCAGAACATCTTTCCCAGACCTGCCAAGGACCTCACTGGTTTTCATCGTCAGAATGTTATTCTCATGGTGAGAGTGTTGTATCAGTTCCCACAGCTGTGAGGAGTGAAGGAGGCCTGTTCTCACCATCTTGCTGAGATTCTGCTCATCCTTGTTTTCAAATCATTGCAAGGCCTTGCCCCTCTCTAACCTCTTCCAGCCCCACAACCGACCCTCCAAGGTGCCTTCACTCCTTCAGTTCTGGCGTCTTGTACATTCTGGATTGTAGCCATAAAGAAGTTGAATCCCTTGTCAAGAGGAAGAAGGAGGCTTGTGTAGAGATGAGGCGTGAAGGCTCAGTTAGGGCGTTTGAGAGTTACAAGTTAGCCAGGAAGGACCTAAAGAGAGAGCTAAGAAGAGCCAGGAGGGGACATGAGAAGTCTTTAGCAGGTAGGATCAGGGAAAACCCTAAAGCCTTCTATAGGTATGTCAGGAATAAAAGAATGACTAGAGTAAAGTTAGGGCCAGTCAAGGACAGTTGTGGGAAGTTGTGCGTGGAGTCCGAAGAGATAGGAGAGGCGCTAAATGAATATTTTTCGTCAGTATTCACACAGGAAAAAGACAATGTTGTCGAGGAGAATACTGAGATACAGGCTATTAGACTAGACGGGATTGAGGTTCATAAGGAGGAGGTGTGAGCAATTCTGGAAAGTGTGAAAATAGATAAGTCCCCTGGGCCGGATGGGATTTATCCTAGGATTCTCTGGGAAGCTAGGGAGGAGATTGCAGAGCCTTTGGCTTTGATCTTTGTTGTCATTGCCTACAGGAATAGTGCCAGAAGACTGGAGGATAGCAAATGTTGTCACCTTATTCAAGAAGGGGAGTAGAGACAACCCTGGTAATTATAGACCAGTGAGCCTTACTTCGGTTGTGGGTAAAGTGTTGGAAAGGATTATAAGAGATAGGGTTTATAATCATCTAGAAAGGAATAATTTGATTAGGGATAGTCAACATGGTTTTGTGAAGGATAGGTCGTGCCTCACAAACCTTAGAGTTCTTTGAGAAGGTGACCAAACAGGTGGATGAGGGTAAAGCGGTTGATGTGGTGTATATGGATTTCAGTAAAGCATTTGATGAGGTTCCCCATGGTAGGCTATTGCAGAAAATACGGAGGCATGGGATTAAGGGTGATTTAGCGGTTTGGATCAGAAATTAGCTAGCTGTAAGAAGACAGAGGGTGGTGGTTGATGGGAAATGTTCATCCTGGAGTTCAGTTACTAGTGGTGTACGTCAAGGATCTGTTTTGGGGCCACTGCTGTTTGTCATTTTTATAAATGACATGGATGAGGGCGTAGAAGGATGGGTTAGTAAATTTGCGGATGACACCAAAGTTGGTGGAGTTGTGGATAGTGCGGAAGGATGTTGCAGGTTACAGAGGGACATAGATAAGCTGCAGAACTGGGCTGAGAGGTGGCAAATGGAGTTTAATGCGGAAAAGTGTGAGGTGGTTCACTTTGGAAGGAGTAACAGGAATACAGAGTACTGGGCTAATGGCAAGATTCTTGGTAGTGTGGATGAGCAGAAAGATCTCGGTGTCCGTGTGCATAGATCACTGAAAGTTGCCACCCAGGTTGATAGCGTTGTTAAGAAGGCGTATAGTGTGTTAGGTTTTATTGGTAGAGGGATTGAGTTTCGGAGCCATGAGGTCATGTTGCAGCTGTACAAAACTCTGGTGCGGCCGCACTTGGAGTATTGTGTACAGTTCTGGTCGCCACATTATAGGAAGGATGTGGAAGCATTGGAAAGGGTGCAGAGGAGATTTACCAGGATGTTGCCTGGTATGGAGGGAAGGCCTTATGAGGAAAGGCTGAGGGACTTGAGGCTGTTTTCGATAGAGAGAAGGTGGTTAAGAGGTGACTTAATAGAGACATACAGGATGATCAGAGGATTAGATAGGGTGGACAGTGAGAGCCTTTTTCCTCGGATGGTGATGGCTAGCACGAGGGGACATAGCTTTAAATTGAGGGGTGGTAGATATAGGACAGATGTCAGAGGTAGGCTCTTTACTCGGAGTAGTAAGGGCGTGGAATGTCCTGCCTGCAACAGTAGTAGACTCGCCAACTTTAAGGGCATTTAACTGGTCATTGGATAAACATATGGATGATAATGGAATAGTGTAGGTTAGATGGGCTTCAGATTGGTTTCACAGATCGGCGCAACATCGAGGGCTGAAGGGCCTGTACTGCACTGTAATGTTCTGTGTTCTATGTTCTATGCGAGAATAGCTGCCATGTCTTTGGTTACCTTGTCCTCAAACTTTGGAGTTACCTTCCTGCAGCTCTCCTCCACACTCTCCTCCTCAAACCTGTTCTTTAAGACCACCTGGTTAAACAAGCTTTTGGATAGCTAGCTTAATATCTCCTTATGAGGGTAGGTGTGGTAACACGCTTGTGAAGCTCCTTTACAATGCTTTATTACATGAAAGGTGCTTTGTAAATTCTGGTTTTTGTTTTTAATGTCAGCTAATTGGAGTCTGAGCTCTGGTCTCCCATTTATTGGATGGTGCACTGTGGGGTATGAAGTCTGCTCATCCTGCCTTCTGCATGAATGCTGTACCACTGATCTAAAACCTCCGTCATTCCCATATCAGCATGTAGGCCCCATGCGAGCTTCTAGAGACTGCTTTCCACCCTGCCTGCTCAATCCTTCTGTTTCCTTGTCCCTTACATATGCAACAGCTCTCTAGTAAAATGTTACTACTGTCTGCTTCAAGGCTTCCACATGACAGTGAGTTACCCACTCTCACCATAAGATATAGGGATAGAAGTAGGCCATTTAGGCCATTTAGCCCATTGGCTCTCCCGGCCATTCAGTGAGATCATTGGTGATCCAAGAATCCACTTCCTGCTTCTTTTCCTCATACTCTTGGTCTGCTTACTGTTTAAAATCTGTATCTCAGCCTCGAATGTTCTTAAAGACTCGGCCTCGAGCTCTCTGGTGAAGAGTTCCATAGATTCACTACCGTGAGAGAGAAATTCCTTCTCATTTGTCTTAAATGGGTGAGCCCTTATTCTGAGATTACGTCCTTTGGCCTAGATTCTCCCATAAGCGGAAGTAAATTTCCGGCTAAGACAGTGTCTAGTCCCTTAAAAATCTTGCATGTTCCATTAAGATCCCCTTGCATTCTTCTAAGCTTCAATGATTACAGGCTTAACCTCTCTCCCTAACTGGGATCAACCGAGTGAACCACCTCTGGACTCCCCTCAATGCCAGTATGTTTCCTTACATGTGGAGCAAAACTGTTCACTGTACTGTAGGTGTGGTTGAACAAGTGCCTCGTACAGTTTTAGCAAGATTTCCGTATTTTATGTTCTATTCCCTTGCCTTCCATTTACACTTGCCTTCCCTACAACCTGCTAAAGTGTATGCTAGTTTACCACTTCTTTCAAAAAAAAATGAAATTCATTGTATTTGAGCAGAGCACTGGGGTTACTTTCTGGTGGAGAATGTGACCAAGGAGAAAAGAAATGGCCAGACGGTGAAAAAGAGAAGGAAAGCAAAACACTGGTTGTTGATGATCAGAAATAAAAACAAAGTGCTGGAGAAGCTCAGCATGTCTGGCATCATCTGTGATGAGAGAAACACTTTGAGTCAACTGTGACTCCTCAGAGTAGAATTGCTGTAAGAACTAACTAAAAACTGAAAGAACTGCGGACACTGTAAATCAGAAACAAATATAGAGATTGCTGGAAAAGCTCAGCAGGTCTGGCAGCATCTCTGGAGAGAAATCGGTTAACTTTTCAGGTCGAGTGACTGAGGAGCTTCTGAGGCAGGGTCACGTGACCTGAAATGTTAAATCTGATTTCTCTCCACAGATGCTGCCGGACCTGCAATCTCAATTTTTGTTCCTGTAAGAACTGTGGGTTTACGGAGAGCTGACTGGAGCAAAAATAACACCAGTTGACCTCAGACCAACACTTCATCTGTGTTAGTTTCGAAGGGGCTACTGCCTGTGACTTGGTCTCTGCAATTACTATAGGCAATGCTCATTCTTGAAGTGGCACACACCCTGGGTGCAGATGGACATATTGCAAACAGCAAAAAAAGCCAGGGCATTGAATTAAGTCAACACAGAGTCTAGGTTAAACCACAGGTGGACCACTGGGTGCAGTTCTGGCCTTTGCTCTAATGAAGGGCATTGAATCACTGGAGAAGGTGCGTTCGCAGAATTGGGAGAATGTGACTTGGGAAAGATTGAATAGACTTGAGATTTTTCCCCTCAAAGGTAATAGACCTGAAAAGTTCCTCAGAATGGAGTTCAAAAGGCAAATGTGGAGAAACTAGTTCACAGTGCGAATATCCTGAGTCTCTTTGTCTGCTTCTGTATTGAATCGCGACTGTCGGGCAACATGCGTACTCTCCCACAGTATTGAGCATTGAAAGAAAGAAGGAATGTTAATTTGTGTCACCTTTCACCACCTTGGGACATCCCCTAATACTTCACGACAAATGAGCTACTTTTTGAACTGCACTCACTGTTGTGTGAAGTGCAGCACCAATATGTACGCAGCAAATTCTCTCAAACAACAGTATGGTACTGACCAGTTTGTGATGTTCTCCAGCTTCCTAGGGAATAATCACCCTTGCTCTCATTTCAGATAATGGATGCTGAATGATACTGCAGTTGCAGCGCTCTCGTTGGCTAGGAGTTTGTAGCTTAATAAAACCACAGCTACAGCTTCCATTGGTTTATCATCAGGTCTAAATGGCTGGTGTGGGTACAGAGTGAGACTGTCCATGTTCCTCAAGGAAACTGTTCGGAATTACATTAGTTTCGTTCTGTTCAGTGTTGGCATGAAAAACAATTCTGATTGAAAGACCTTTCCTGGTGTGCATAATCGGGAAAGTTTAAACTGTGCACAAAGCTGTACAAAACCGAAAAAAAAAGTATTGGAATTCTGTGACAGGTATGTGAAAGAGAAAAGATTTGGACGTTGGCCTTTCAGAAACAGAAAATAGTAGCAAGGTAGGCCAAATGGCTCTTCCTTCAAACCTGCTCAGTCCCCTGTTCCCAGTTTATCCTCATACCCTTTGATCCCTCTAGCCCTAAGAACTACATCTAACTTCGTCTTGTAAACATTTAATGATTTGCTGTCAACTTCTTTCTGTTAGAGAATTCCACATGCTCCCCACACTCCGGATGAAGAAATTTTTCTTCACCTCAGTCCTAAAAGGTTTATCCCCATTCTTAAACTATGATCCCTGATTCTGGTCTCCCCTGCCATTGGGAGAAGCCTTCCTGCATCTAACTGGAGATACCACCTCATTCTTCTAAATTCCAGTGAATATAGAATCATAGTATCCCTACAGTGTGGAAACAGGCCCTTCGGCCCAACAAGTCCACACTGACCCTCAGCATCCCACTCAGACCCATCCCCCTATAACCCACCTAATCTACACATCCCTGAATGCTACGGGCAATTTAGCATGGCCAATCTACCTAGCCTGCACATCTTTGGACTGTGGGAGGAAACCGGAGCACCTGGAGGAAACCCACGGAGAGAATGTGCGAACTCCACACAGACAGTCACCTGAGGCTGGAATTGAACCCTGGTGCTGTGAGGCAGCAGTGCTAACCACTGAACCACCGTGCCAAGTCCTGACTTATCCAGTTTCCCTTCTTAGATTCCTGCCATCCCAGGGCTCAGTTTGGTTAATCTTCTTTGTACTCCCTCCAGAGGCAGAACATCATCCTCGGATCAAGAGACTTGAAACTGCATACCATACTGCAGGCGTGGTCTAAGTAAGGCACTGTGCAGTTGCAATAAGATATTCCTACTCCTGAAATTCATCTCGTTGTAAAGGTCCGTGTACTATTTGCTTTCTACACCATCTGCACCTGTATGCTTGCTTTCAGCAAGTGGTATACACAGCTATCTGAGTCTCCTTGCAGCATCCCCTTTCCCAATCTGTCACCATTCAGATAATCTGCCTTCCTGCTTTTGCTACCAAAGTGGATGACCTCATGTTTATTCACAAAACACTTCATCTGCCATGCATTTTCCCACTTACTTGACTTGTCCCAAATACACTGAAGAATCTCTACATCTTCCTCACAGTTCAAACTCCCACCTAGCTTTTGTCATCTGCAAAATTGGAGATGTTACACTTAGTTCCCTTATCCAAATAATCAATATATGTTGAATAGATGGGGTCCAAGCATTGATCCCAGTGCTGTGCCATTGGTGCCTGTCTATTCCACTCTTTTGTTTCCTGTCTGCCAACCAGTTCTCTATCCTTGTCAGTACACTAACCCCAATCTCATGTGGTTTCATTTTATTTTACAATGTTCATATCTGAGAAGGAATTTCCATGAACATAACTTTGATCTGTCTTCCCATTAGGGATGGGTAATGAATCCTGGCCCAGCTATGGGTGCCTGCAGCATACAAATGGATTTTTTAAAAAAAGGTCCAGTACGGTTACACATGCTCTCCATTAGCTGATTGAAAGCTGGAGTTGTTTCAATGCTGGACATTTTCAGAATGCACTGTGCATCTTTTTGTAATTGTACTCGATTAGAATTAACTTACCTCGTCAATTTGACTGGGCTCGGCAGAAGCTGGACTTCTCTGCCTAACCATTTGTGCACTGATTTGTTCCTTAAACTCTTTGCAGCCCTTCACCTCCCCTACCCTGGATTGGTGTGATCTGCCCATGGTCCGAACAGCCCACCCAGGAACTTGGCAAACCTGTTTGGCAGCACTAATGCTGCGTGTGTAAGGAAGGACCCCTTGGTGTCGCCAGTTTGTCATTCAAGAGGCTGGCCATCACCGTTAAATCTGCATTGTTGGCTCCACTGGCCGGCGTAAATTATATCTTTTTGATCGCTGCTGGAAGAAGGGGACCTGGATTTAGTTGAATTGGCCTGTGAGCATGGGTCTCCTAGAACTGAATATCAGCCATTGGCTTTTTCAGTATGCTCCAATGGGAATGTTCAATTGGTACACAGTTTTAACGTAGACATTTTGAGGCCAAGTCGCCTTTAAGTTGTGACCTCCGGTGAAATAGTTTACGTTTAGAGAAGATGTCCTCCTGTTACTCGAGGTGCCAGAGTATTGTTCATGAAGTGCTTTTCTTTCCCCCTCCCACCACTTCCTGCTTTTGCCTGGTGCCAGCTATAATTCAGGGTGTTTCACTCTGGTCCCACTACAGGGTCTTGGGGACAAAACCTGTGCTGACCTTCCTGTGCAGTATTGTGAGCGTGCTGCCTTGTCTTTCAGGTGAAACATTAAACTGAGGTAAACGATCCCACTGCATTATTTTGAAGGATTTTTTTATAGTCCTACCAATATAATTCTTCAAACGACATCACCAAAAGCTGCTTATTTGATCATTATGACAGTGTTGTTTATGGGAGCTTTGTCTAAACTGACTGCTGTTTCATATATTACAACAGTGACTAGACTTCAGAAGTAATTAATTGTCTTTATTAATGACCAAGGACATGAATGTTATTGCACAAATGCAACATGCATCAATAGTCTGAATAAGCAATATTGACATTGTGTGTAATTGTATCTTTATTGTAAGCATCCTTCAGCAGTGCTGTGACATAACGTGCAGACATTGAGGTTGGTTTTCAGGATAGATCAGCACTGATTGAATGGCCTGCTTTGTCTTAGGGTCAAGCATCTTGAGTTTGTTGGAGCTGCACTCATCTAGGCAAGCGGAGAGTATTATATCACGTTCCTGACTTGTGCTTTGTAGATGGTGGATAGGTTTCTGAGGTGTATTATTTACTATAGCTATGCTACTGGTACTCTGCTAATGGATCGACTGAGGCATTATAGCACGTTTGAATGATGCTGCGGAATGTGAAGCGTGCTAATTTGTTCTTCTCCATTGCACCATACCCATGGCAATGTTAATGAGTTCTCGGGTGTGAGCAGCTACTTGTTTCTGAAAACGTTGTTTCTGAAATTTTTGGCCAGTTAAAATTCCTGAACTGGTTTCTTTGCTGCCCTCAATTACTTCGCAACATTCCTGAGCACAGCTGTAACTCCACTTGGCTGTTCAAACTGGACAAAGTCTAACACATCAAATCCAGGGCAGCTTTTCCTGTGCTGACTAACTCCCGCTGTGGAAGCTTGCTTTAAGCTGAATGGTGGTGAAGACACCAAGTTGCCAAAGGATTTCTCTTGGCTCTTTGGTTACAACAGTGCAGCATAGGAGTTTGGAATTTGAAGCCCTGATTGCCATGAAGTGAATGGCAGCTTCACAGCTTTCTCCTTTGATTTCCTGTAGAAATTGCTGATGGGCTCAGTGCTATTAGCACCAATAGTTTAACACCATTTAGCACCAATTTTGTTGGAGATGCTTTAATCCACTCAATGCAGGTGAATATTCTCCAGGTACTTAACAAACATTGATCTCTATTCAGTAGTCGAGGACTTGAAGGGCTCACTGATCAAATTAACTTGATTTTAAGTTTTATAAAATAAGTGCATGTGCACACTCTGATCACACTAAAATAATGTTCACTCAATTTCTATTACTCATTTAATTAACATTGAGATTTCCCATATCTGGATTTACAGATTGATGTTAGACAATGCCAAGAGCAGGCAATGTGTTAGAACACCCCATTTCACAGTAATCAACCAGTGGTCTGCACGGTTAATCTGGGAAGTATATTGGACTGCAGTGTTGAAGAAGATTACACTGTTTCTCATGGTAAAGGTACTGAATCTTATTGACTGTCATCAGGTGCCAGTACTTCAAATGGCTGGTCATTCAGAATGTGAACAGACTTAAGTCCACTGTGGGTGTATTATGAATCCACCTAAAAGGACGAGCAGCAGATGCATGGAACATCACCTGTAAGTTCCCTTCCAAATCTCTCTCCTTTCTGACTGGGAACAGTTGTTATTCCTTCGCTGTGACTGGGTCAAATCCTACAACTCCCTAACAGCATTGTCGATGTACCTGCACCATGTGGACTAGAGCAGCAGAAGGCACCCCCACCTTGAGAGCTTTTAGGTATAGGTATATAACTGTTGGCCAGCATTATTTTTAAACTGGTGCTCTGAGGTCACTGACATCAAATGGGAATTGAACCTGGCATTCTTCTGGCTCGTTTGGGTTATGGCTAGACTGATGGCAGAAGAACCTACTTGCGGAGGGAATGAAAGTTGTGGCAATCACTCTTGTCAGGTGGGCCATGTCATTCTCTGAGCTTCTGTATGCTGGCAAAGGGTTGCACCTGTTCATTCTTTTTCTTTCCGTTTCCTGAGGACAAACTTGCGTTCTTCAGGTGAGGTGACAGGCTCTTTAAGCAGCTGCTAACAAGATGCAGAGGTGCAGCTGGAGCTCAGTCTCCACATAATATTTTTCCACTCGAGTACACTGCAAACCATGCTTTAGCTGTGTTTCCGTTAACACTTTCTCAGATGGAGCTTTTCCTCATTGTGCTACTAAGCGATATACAATGAAATGGTCCAAGTCTCTGTCCCGTGCTGTTGGAAAGAAGCAGAGGCATTCCAGTAGGATTTAACCCCCGAATGGTGGTGAGGAAGGAAATCACCCAGCTTTCCTTCCCGCCTTCGTCTCCCCACTCTGCTTGGGATCCCCTTGTTTTACAGGCAGCTGGTGTTTTCACTCCAGTGATGCCTGCAGGGCTGTTCTGGATGGCTTGCTTTTTTTGCTGAAATTTGAATCCTCGGCTATTTTTTCAGATGTCAGAATGGTGCTTTGCACAGTGTGCGCGCTTCTGGAACTCTGCCGCTTTGTAGGTGCTGATCATAAAGCTTAGCAATAAAATATACTTTTAGCTAAAACTCCCTTGCTACAAATGAATTGAGCTCATTTGGTAACAAAAAATGTGCATTTGTATTGCACCTTTTGTATCCTCAGTATCTAACTGTTGATGTACAGTCAAGGCTAATGGGTGATCTGATGGGGATGTTCAAGGTTACAAAAGTTCAATAAGGCAACCATCGAGAAGCCGTTCCCATTTGTAGGACTGACCTGAATTGGGGGGCCATGAAGGTAAGATGGTCTAATTGGAAATTCAGGGAAAACGTCTCTACTTGAAGAATATGGCACTGCCTACCACAAGATCAGTTGAGCCGAATAGCATAAATAAAGTGAGCGAGCAACAAATAGGATATGTTGGAGTTAGGGGAGGCTCGAATGGAGTTTGCTATTGAGTCAAATGTCTTGTTTTGTTTCTGTACTGTAAATGGACTGCAAAGTTTTGTATGTGCAAGTGATTGCGAGTTGATAGCAAATGAGGCTTATTTAAGGTGAGCAATTGGTAATCGTGCAAAAAATAGCAGCAAACTAGGGTATTTACAATATAAACACTGGCACAAACCAGTTGGGCAGAATGTTTGAGCTTTAAATGCTTTATAATATTATACATCCCCGATTGATAACACTTCAAAAGCTAAACAATCAGCAAGGTCCCACAAACAGCAATGAGATGATTCACCAGTTCCCATGTTAGTTGGTAGGCTGTAGAAAACCCCTACTTAAATGTGCCCTGTGTTTTTTATGTAAACAAATGGAGCTTTTTTTTTGGTGTTATCTGATTGATGGTACCTCTAGCAATGTTGCACTCCATCAGAATTGCTCTCAAATATTAGCCAGGATTATGCACTTAGATTTTTAATGGTCTGCTGTAACTGATGCTTCCTGACTAACCTATATTTAGATATGCTAAACCTGAAAACCCTGCAGAACTGCAGCTGATACTGTACAAGCTACTTTTGGTAATTGGGTCTCCTCATTTGTCATCGCTTTGCTTAAAGTGTCATTTTTCTTGAGAGTCTAGACAATGAATTTCAATGAACTATTCTGAGTGTTCCAGCAGATGTTTAATTCAACCTGTGTGCTTTTATCAGGAGATCCTGGATAGTGGTCAAGAGAATGAATACTGGCTCTTTTTTTTCCCACACTTGTGACTTCTGGAGCACTATTGAAATACCTTATGACACCCTGACTAAAGCCAGCTCGCTTGGCAGAGATCACTCTGAAACCTGTGGCTTTCCTGGTTTTCTGGCCTTGTTCCACACTAAGCTGTGGGTATACCAAGAACGTCAGCGATTTGAGCTTCATCAAACAAAAAGCATTGTTCCCACAACTTGGACATACACTATCCAACAAGTGTAGAGCTGAAATCACCTCTGGAAATCATCAGTCCAACTGGAATGATTCCTTTCCATCTACCTGTGTAAATATTGGCTTGGATTATGCCACATTTCAACATATCCTTGTACATAGACATCAGACCACATTACATAGGTGTTTGTTGCTACTTGACTATGGGCGAGTGTGTTCAAAGATAGTGTTGTTTTCTGTCCTGGTTGTGTAATTTTCTGGAAGGTAATTATGTCAGTTTTTGAGTGGATGATCTGTTTTTGCTCATGGCAATCACTTATTAATTGTACGCAATGAATAAGTGAATGCTGGAAGTGTTTCCAGGGAAGGATGCATTCATTGCTTTTATATAAAAGCAGAATATCATGGATGCTGGAAAGTTGAAGTTCAAACAAAAAATGCTGGAAATACTCAACTGGTCATGCCTGATTGTTTGTTTGGCATCGCATCCACAAACATTCGCTCTCTCCACCACAGGCGGTCAGTCGCAGCAGTATGTTCCATCTGCAAGTTGCACCATGGTAACTCACCAAGGCTCCTTTGACAGCACCTTCCAAACTGAAGGCCGCGACCATTTGGAGGTCAAGGACAGCAGATAAGAGGTGGCGGTGTTCCCATCTAAGTTCTCTAAATCGTTTACCATCCAGACTTGGCAATGTATCTTTCAGTGTTGCTGGGTCAAAATTTTGGAACTTGCTTCCTAACGATGTAATGGGTCTGCTGGCATCAAATAATTGCAGTCTTTCAAGGAGGTATTTCACTACCACTTTGAGAGCAGTTAGGCATGGGCCACTATTGTTGGCCTAGGCAGCAATGCCTATGTCCCATGAGTAAATAAATTGAAATAATTTCTCCTTTGGAAACTGTCAATGCCTGGCACTCCATGGCTCTGAGAAAGGGGAAAAGATGCCTACTTTCTCATTTTTGGATGAATGCAGTTTCTTTCTTTGACCTGCTTCCAATCTGTGCTACTGAGCTTCCTTTAAGTCAACCTGTGGTTACTGAGGTTTATAGAGGTGTGCTCCTTTATATCCTGTGACAGGAAGATACATTTTTGTGAGACTGACACAAGGCCTAGTGTTTTCTGCACATGGGTAGCAGCTTAGTGAAATAAAATGTGCTCTTGAACAGTGATCATGATTGAGGAAATATACTTGCTCATCTTTTAAGATGGGAAGCATGGTGCAAGTGTGAGCAATGTTAGGGTTTTCAATATGGTTAATACCTTTTATGAGATCACCAAGAATCAAGTGTGGCAATGTGTAATTGGATAGACCATTCAATATTCTGTGCTTGATCCTTTGTATTTTTAATTGTGTGCGCATTAGTAAATTCAAGTGCACTTGTTAAGCAAGTTGAGCATTTAATGTACATGCTCCTCAATGCTCAGGCTTTGTTACCAGGGTATAAAATGCAGCTTAACAAAAATGTCAATCCCAGATTTTAAAGTTAACAATTCACTGTGAATTAGTTGCTATTTATGGCCATGTGTTCTATTCTTCTGCCAGCCCTCCTGAAAGGCCTGACGAATTTTGAACATGCCTGCTAGTCCCAGACTCACTAAATAGCAGAAATAGTTTTGCTCTGCCTACTCAATCCATGCCCCATTATCTTAAAATTCAATCAAATCATCAATTAACCTTCTAAATTCCATGGAATGCAGCTAGTATTCCCAGCACAGCACAAGTTAAAGGGTGCCATACACTCTGTCCAAGTTGGCCTCTTAGTTACAGGTCACGTGCAGAAGTTTTAATCTTCGTATTTTAATCGCGCTGTTAGGATGCATGCATTGGTCAGTGATAATAACATTGCGGTATCTAATGTGAGAGCCAGCTAACCTGAAAAGCTATGTTAGGTTATCATCAAACAGTATCCTTTCTGGTGTTCACCAGAAATGGAAGGTCTTGCATGTATGGCAGCCCTTTTCCCAAAGTCCAGAGGAAAAGGAGACAGAGCCTTGGAGTTGGAGCCCAGCCATTCAGGGTGATGTCAGGAAACATTGGGGACCTGGAAGTCTGGAACTCTTTCCCCGAAACATTATTGAAAGAATCAAAGCAGAGGTTAATACATTTTTGTTGAATAAAGATATCGAAGGTCATAGAACCAAGATGGAAGAATTGAGAGGTTGAAGAGCTTTTTGCTGTGCTGGGCAAGACCTTGGTTATGCTTAACTGTGATACCTTCTACGATTGAATAGTAAATACGTGGAAATTTGTGGAAATTTTTAGAAATTTATTAAGTCAGCAATTTGTGGGCTGGCACCAGGAAGAAATGAATCATGGAAATAAATCATGGAAATAGTCATGTCTATAAAAACTGATTCACTAATATCCTTCACGGAAAAGATACCTTCACCGGAGCAGAAATGTCACTTTCACCGCTAACTTCTGATGAAGGGTCCTGACCCGCAACTTCGACTTTCCTGTTCCTCTGCTGCCTGACCTGTGTTCCTCCAGCTCCTTACTGTTTTGCCCATGTCCATCTAACCATCAACTGATTCCAGTTACACATTATGGTGCACTGTCTCTGCAGTTGCTGGGAATAACATGATGGAATCTAAATAGGTATGAGAATGAGAAAGGAATGGAAGACTGTATAGTTAGAAGTGGATGTAGCAGCATGGGAAGAGATTAGTACGGAGCAGAAATGCCAATCTGCTCACTTGCCATGACTGTTAGGCAGAATGTTTGTGCTGAAAATCTGTGTAATTCTTCACTCACTCTGAAATGACCCAGCAAGCTGTTCAAGAGTAAAATCTATCATCGTGGAGGAAGACCCACTGTAGCCACCTCAAAAACAAAGGATGGGCTGTAAATGAGGCCTTGCCAGAGTCGCTGACATCTTGAGAATAAACCTTTTTTTTAAAAAAAAAGTCTGCTGACATTGACTATGAGCTCACACATGAGAAACAGCCAGTTTGTTGAGCTGCTGGCAGATGGCCAGTGGGAGGAGGCAAGCAATGAGTCAGGAGTAGCGCAGAGGGGTTTTGGAGAGGGAAAATGTTTTCTATAATGAATTTCCCCTGTTCCTGAGCTAGAGGAGATGCTCTGGTTTTGTCTGAGAATTGGTCTCGTTTCAAAATATGAAATGAATCTTGCTTGACTTTTCAGCATTCCCCTACACTCATGGCAGCCTGAGTTCTGGCGCATTACAGCCTTCTGTTCTTGTCATCTGACTAAGACTTGCTACCATGGAGTTTTCAACAGTTGCTTTCAAAGTTTTCTGTCCGGAAAGGGTTGGGAAATTGCCCTCTTGCATTCCCCTCACACCCCCACCTTCTGCAGAAGTGGATATATTTCGAGGTACTCGGGATTGTCACGACAGAAAGCAAAATGCTACATTGTGCAAAACGAAATTACTCTCTTAGCAACGGGAATAATCTGCTCCTGTGTTGATGCAGAAATATTCAGGATCGAGGTGGACAGAAGCTCAGTTCCTCTGTCTGCCTTTCTCAGTTTCACTGGGATCTGTTTCAGATATTGTGCTCCCACAATTGTTAAAGGTTTTGAAAGAACCAAGCTCCCCTGATGACTGGAGTTCCTTTGAAAAGAAACCTTGAGCTGGTTTGTGCTTTTTGAGAGAATCTTTCTTGTTCCGACCTTTCCTTGAATGGTGTTCTGGGTTCAATTTCTGCACAAAATCTTATTTGTTAAAATTCCTTTTGTGAACTAGTTTAATGGAGGCATTGACTCAAATGGGCATTGGGTGCAAAATTATTGAACAGTTCTGATAAAATGTCATTGACCTGAAACATCGGAGTTTATCCTGCTGCAGATGTTGTGGCTTGCAGAATTTTCAATTTTAATATTGAATATATGTAAGCTCGTTTTCACTCAACAATAATAGAGGCTTTTAGATTCCAGTGCTTTATCAATAAGGGT